GAGATCCTGTTTTTAAATAACATACAAAACAGGGCTGGGGATGTGACTCAGTGGTAGAGTGCCCCTAAATTCAATCCCTGGTACCCTCTGTCAGGTCGGTGGTGGTTACTTAGGAACAAGAACCAAGGAGCCTGAGCATGGGAAAGAAACACCTGTCAATCAGCAGAGTCTTCTGGCCAATCCTGGATTTCATCCAGTTTCACCAACCAACTTTACCAGGATAAGAGACTCTAAAAACACCTTTTCCTGTCCCAAGCCCTTCCCTTCCTGCCTTAAGCCCCATAAACTTCCAGTCCCATGGAGCTCCCACCCGTTTTCTCCTGTGACTCTTCTCCTGTTTACTCTGTCTGTCTGATCAAGTTCTGCCCTGGAGCATCATCTCAAATAAAGCCTCATTCAGCGGCCTTTTAAAATCTGTCTCCTTTGGTCAACATCCATTGCTGGACCTCACACCCTCCCCTACCAGAAAAAATAAAATAAAAACACAAAGCATTGAGAGGGCCTGCTAGGGGTGTTAATTCCATGTGATTTCTGCCCAGTCCTCTGAATGTCAAAGTGAAGAAATTCAGTGAAGTGCAGTTAAACGGAGGGAGTAACTATGATAATCTTAAGGCCCTCAAATGCCTCCTCTTCTAATTAGTGATGCATGAATAGATGAAAAAGATTCCCACTTTCTCTATGTACTATCCAGCAAAACCACAGCCAAAGGAATGGGCTCTGCAGACCCAGTGAGGAAAGAACTGTAGAAACAAAGAACCAGAAAGAAGCCCAGCTTGCCCCCCATGCCCCCCAAAGGGCTCTATTTTTTCTTCCTCAGCCAGAGCTGGAAGTCCAAAGAACAATAACAACAATAACAAAACAAACAATCAAAAATAACAACAACAAAAACATGACAGCCAGCAGTGTTGGAAACAGCACAGTCAAGATAGAGTTTAAAGGAGCTTAGTGTGCCAGATCCCCTGGGTTGGTTTCTTTGGGACCTACAACAAAGAAACTAAAGAAATACCAATCCACCCTGCCCCCAAGGAAAAGAAAACGAACCACAGTAGATGCATTCCATTCTCCCCCCTTAATGGACTATCTAGTACCACAGATTTTGAACTCAGAGCTCTTCTGCTGAAAGGAAATGATAAAGCTTGGTTTAGTGGCAGAAGCCTGTCGCTGGAGGAAAGATCACTTGAGATGAATTTGTGACCCAACCACATAGAGACCCCAGTCTACAAACAAGCCAGCATGCCAGCTTAAAATTCAAAGGAAGATCAGATTGTTTTTAATGACTTGAAGGCTTATTCTGTCATGTATTACTCTTCATCTCTGATCAGTTCTTGGGAGACCCAAAGTATCAGGAGGTGGGGGTGTGGTTGTCACTTAATGGTAGAGTTCTTGCCTAGCACGTGTGAGGCACTGGGTTTGATTCTCAGCACCATGTAAGAATAAATAAGACAAAATTATTGTGTCCATGTGATAGTAGGAGCAAATGTGACTCCATTTTGTTTTATGACTTCATCCTGTAAAACAACCATGCCAAGTAGAAGAGCCATGACTGGGGCAAGATGTTCTTTTCCTTTTGCTATAGAAATCTTTAAGAACACAAAACTACCTAATTGGGGTATTGTTTCTGTAACTAGGGTAACGGGGCTCTGTTTCTGTAACTGGGGTGACTGGGCTAACTGTGATTGTTTAGGCTTCCCTCCACTTGACTGCACTCTCCTGCTTCTGTAACCTGGCTTGCTTGCATTGGCTGGACCCCATGAACATCCCTTTTGCAGTTTTCAGGCTTATAAGGAGTGCCCTTGCAATTGTTCGGGGCTGATCAGGGGAATGGCTTTATGTTCTGGTCAGCCACCAGCAGTGTGCTTCAATTAAGGCTTGATTCAATTATATGTGAGTGGTCTGGAAGTCAGTTTTTGAAACCCTGAGATGAAGCTTTAACTATAACATCCATCTCTAACTAAAAATAAATAAATGAATGAATAAATAATTTAAGGTTTGAGAAGGTGGGAGATGGACCCTTAGAGTTGCTCAGTGGTACAGCTACCTAAAGTAGGCTAGACTTGCATGTGTGGTGGGTTCTGATTTCAGTTCAATCCTTTACCAGGATGGATTTTTTAAAAAGTTTTTTTTAAGCCTCCTAAGATTTTCAGTGTGGCTTGTGAGGACCACATAGCCCAGTTAGAGCTTTCACTTACTAGAAGAGTTGAAGATAAAAATTAAGTAAGGAAGAATAAGCCTAAACTCTCAGTAAAATAGAGAGGGAGAGAAAGGGTGAGAAGTGAGTGAAAGAAAAAGAGAGAAAGTGAGAAACCAGCCTCTACCTCAGAGCAAAGCCTGTCCAAGGAAGGGGGCCTGACCCTTGTTCTTGGAAAGACCTACAGAGCACCCCTAGGCACATACCCGCCCTGCTGAGTTGTTTATCTACAAATAACAGGAGAGATCTTCTGCACCAGGTGTCCCTGACTCAGTCAGGCTAGGTGAGGACCCATAGCTACCCGCTAGCAACCACCAATCAGCATGAGACAGGGAAAATACCTGGGATGCCAAATGACCCCCCAGTTGTTTATGGTGGTTGATAACATTTTAGGAAACCATGTAGTTCAGCACGTACTCCCCTTGTGGCTTAAACCAATCAGTTCAAATGAATCCCCTCTTATACTCACCAATCACCTTTATCCAACTTGTCCCTGCCAGTGAATGTGATAATCAATGTTAAGAGTTGTTCTTTTATTTTCCCGTAGTGTGTGATGATTTGCTAAGAGATGCTATGATATATGTGAAGTCCCTGCCTTCCCCAAAGAGTGTACAAAACTGCTGCAAACCCTGGGCTCGGGGCCTGTCAGTATCACCAGTTGCTGTGTATGCGCGGAGGACCGAGCTAGCTCGCAATAAACACCTCTTTGCTGCTTACATGGATCTTGGTGTCTGGTGGTCTTTTGGGAGTCCTGAATTTGAGCATAGAAGAGAAGTTTCAAAAACCACAAAAACCAGTCCATATCTTAGACTACCTCCTCAAAGTTAAGAGCATAATGCAGCTGGATGCTAGTCATCTTAGCAGCACAGAAGTGTTTGTAGGAGGAATGGAACCCAGGAGCACTCAATATTTCCTGCCCTACTTTTTATTTTTCTTTTTTTTGGGGGGAGGGAGGGTGGTGTGGGGTGGTAAGTTACCAAGGATTGAACTCAGGGGCCTTGACCATGAAGCCACCTCCCCAGCCCTATTTTTGCATTTTATTAAGACAAGAAGCCAGGCACTTGTAACCCCAGCAACCTGGAAGCTGAGACAGGAGGATCGCAATTTCAAAGCCAGCCTCAGCAAAAAACGAGGTGCTAAGCAACTCAGTGACACCCTGTCTCTAAATAAAACACAGAATAGGGCCCGTTGGGCCTGAGTTCAATCCCTGGTTAAATCATTTGCGAAAGAAAAGAAGGAAAGGAAAGGAAAGGAAGGAAATAGAGAAAAAGAAAGTAAAGTAGAAACTCACATTCTTGTTAGATTGCTTTCCACCACGCTGCTATGTCCCTGCTATGATGCTGTATTTATAAACAGTGTGTATTGAAATTGTAAACATCGCCCATTCCTACACTTTGCCCCTCCTCCACCTGAACATCCACTTTCTCCCTCTCTTCCTCCCTCCACCCATTTTCTGAAGGAATTACTCTGGGTTTTCTGGTTCAGGACACTGCTGTTCTCTTCTATATTCACCCCACCCTACCCTACCCCACCCCACATTCCAGCTGGATTGGATAGATCTGCCTGTCACCAATACAAAGAAAAATCAACAACAAAATCTCCTACTCTCTGGGCCTGTCCCCTGGGACCCCACCCAACCAAACCTGGAAAAATGTGACAGGATATGTGCCATATGTCCCAGTCCAGGAGGGGTTGAAAAGGGCAGGTTAGGTGTCCAGGAGTAGTGGACTGGGAAGACCTTAGAGGGAGGGGCTTTGGTCTGGTGTGGGCATGAAGGCAGGCCATTGAGTACCTGCAGATTTGTTCTGGGATCCATGGAGGATTGACCCAATTTTATCTGCAGACTTACTTGGCACCTACAGAATCCAGTCTGTGTTTCAAATTTCTGTTTTTATTTATTTAAACCTGGATTTTCATTTCCCCAAAGAGTGGAAGAAAGAGAGGGATCCCATGGAAATAATCTCTAGGATTCACTTCTTCTATTTTGTATTTTCCTTGAGGGTCCTCTAGAGATCCTCCAGTGTGGGAGGTACAGATGTGTCCTACTGCATGTTTGGCAGCTGTGGAGGAAAAAAAAAATCCCGATCCCTCCAACCTGGTCACATATCATGTGGTGCCACATTTTTTTGAAGAAGAAAGGAGAGCCGAATATTCTGGAACAGAACAATAAGAGCAGTCAAAAATCAGATAGGTGGAACAGTGCATTGAGTCTTGCACACATGGCCACAGATACTCACAAGACAGGCTGAGGCACGGGAAACACCTGGGCAACCTAGACAGACCTCACTTTTGAATAGGCAAGCAAAAAGAGAGTTTCCCATGGCAAAGAAAGAAAGGAGAGGAAAACAAGAAATGTGTCCCACCCCATTAAGAAAGAAAGAAAAATACCAAATAAAAGGGAAGAGAATGGAGAAGAGAGGAACCACCGTTAGTTCAAGATGTGTATGGGTTCCATCACGAAAGTACAAATGGAGCTACCTGGGAAGGTGTGGTGGCATACATCTGCAAATCCACATGTAATCCCAGGGTGAGGTAGAAGGATGGCAAGTTTAATGCCAGCATCAGCCATTTAGGGATACCCTATCTCAAAATAAATAAAAATGTAGAGGACTGGGGATGTGACCCAGTGGTCAGGCAACCCTGGGAAAGAAAAGAAAAGAAAAAAAAAGAAGGAAGAAAGGATGGAAGAGGGAGAGAGGGAGGGACAGACAGGAAGGAAAGACAGGCAGGAAGGGGAGAGAGAGAGAGAGAGAGAGAGAGAGAGAGAGAGAGAGAGAG